GGCTGGGAAGTAGGCATATGAAAATGCCCTCTTGATGTGGGCCTAAAAATGGGATTCGTAATCAAAATGTGAATAATTACCATCTAACATCAAACACAAAAATGTTTTCATCTCATTTCAAGATAAATAAAGAAAAAACAGGCTACCTTGGGGCTATTAATGAATATTATAGATCAAGGTAAAGAGAATATCAACTTGAAGACACAAATAAGTAAACCTGTGAAAATGATATATCCCCTAAGTAAAAAGATGTTTTAAGGTAACTCTCTGGAATATCAGGATGAAGAGAAAGTAAAGAACGATGAGTAAAGGTTAGAGAGGAAGAACCTCAACCTTTAATAAGAGAATCAAGTCATGTTAGCAGTGCTAAAAAGCATAAATGAATTTGAAGTTAAATGCATGTTAATGCTACAGAAAAGAAAACCACTGATATGACAGGACAAATTTGAGACACAATTGCAGACAAAGAACAAACAGACAAAGAAAATAAAATCATAAAAAAGGCAGTAAATATGGATAACAGTGTTTGTAGAAAAGAAATAGAAAGAAACTGATGAAGATATTAAGGGGCTAAAATGGAAATAAAACAAAAACGAATATAGAACAAAGAAGGCAAAATAGAAAGAAAAAATCAATGAAAAGAGGCCTGCTCAAGAAATTGTGATAAAAAGAATTTAAAGTACAAGGCTAAAAAAATAAAAGCATCCAAATGCCAGGCTGATGTTAGACTTTTCCTTTAAAATACACTTAAAACAATGAAGCTTGCCCTATTATTTTTTCAGAAAAGAAGGTTGTGAATCAAAACATTAAACCCAGTTCATGATCATCTCTGTCATGATAATTAGAATGTCATTCTCAGTGTGGGAAGCTCATGACAACTATATCTCCACAAATACTTAATAAATAAAGATATGCTCTGAGAAATGAGGAAAAATTCAGCACTTAAGAACTAGGAAATTATGCTGTAAAAGGAATAACAGTGGATATTGATTAACCTGAGAGTGTAACTATGTGTTGTAAAAATCATTGTAAAGCTAACTGAAAACATAAGTTTTAAAAAAAAATGCAACAATTAAATTTTAATAACAATCTCTCTTAGTACCCAAGATTGTATAAAAAAATCCTATATGGAGCATTCAGTATGATATTAATTTATTCTTAATTTTTTAAATTACAGAAATAGAGAACACGATTTAAAAACTTGATAGTAAAAACAAATGGAGTCTATCTTTATATTAACAAAAGTGTTTTACTCA